GTGTTCTCTCTCCCTCTCCCTCTCTCTCTCTCTCTCTCTCTCTCTCTCTCTCTCTCTCTCTCTCTCTCTCTCTCTCTCTCTCTCTCTCTCTCTCTCTCTCTCCCTCTCCCTCTCCCTCTCCCTCTCTCTCTCTCCCTCCCTCCCTCCCTCCCTCCTTCCCTCCCTCCATCCATCCATCCATCCATCATACAAACACACACAAACAGTATCAGATTAAAGAATTGTTTTGGACACTAAATTTGTAATTTTTATGAGAATATATTTAAATCTACTTTTCTCAATGAAACTTAGGTCTCTGCAGCATTAAAGTCTGATCTTGGTCATACACACTGCAAATTATAGATCCACACCTAATGAACATAGATATTCAAAATTGTTATCAAACAATTCTAAATGATATTAGCTATCTTGGAACATTCTGATCAAATTAAATTTATTTCTGTGGACCAGAGGCTAACTATATGAGATTAGGTGGATCCCACTGTAATTATTGATCAATCATTGAATAGAGAGAATGTATTTGAGCAAGTAAGTAATCTCTACTTTTTAATTATAATATTAAAATCTTCCTCTCCTTTCCTCAAGAGTATTTTAACTGTATTTATACTTTTTTTGTCCAAATTTTCACATGAGAGTTACTGGTATCTTTTTGTTATTTGAAATTGCACATATGATCCCTTTCTTCCTTATTGTTTGATTTTGATCTGGAATAATTACGTTTCACAATTAAGCCCTATTTGCAAATGGCTTGTTAGTACTTACTGATAAAATAAAATACTGTAGAGTTTTGTAGCCTTTTCTCAGTATTATATAAATGGTACAAATTTGAACTATGCCTTTGATACTTAATGTCTCATCAGTTTTGTCTGGACAGTTCAGATGCTGTCTGAGGCAATCAGTTATTGAGCTTTTGCTTTAGGGTGCCCTGAGTCTGAATGAATTTGGTTGTGCAGAAATCCAATAAAAAACTAACTTGGTTTGAGAATACCCAAGATATATATAACAAGAGCAATAACTTGGTATAACAACATATCTCAAATATATTATTAGATAAAACAGATGGAGTTCACTTAAACTAAAACTAGTTGGGTGGTTTTGCCTCTTTCTCTAAATAGATCTTGTGTAGGGGTCTATGGTTGCACACAATAAATTTAATGTCTTCATACTTCTAGTTAAAATGGAATAAATTTTGACAAAATAGCTTGTGTTTAATTTAGAATGTGATTGACTATGTAAATTGTCTTCTGGAAAACATCAAAGTAGGGGTTTCTTTACAAAGCATATGACTGTCACATTCAGTAATTAATCTAATCAGTACTTTCTTTTACTTCTGTCACAGCAGTGTTAGCGAAGACTGCTTTTGTGACCAAATTATTCTTACAGATTTTAGAGTTTTGAGCTGCATAGAAATGTCACAATCCTTAGAATTTAAGAAACTCATTCAGCATTCCCTTTGTTGCCTATAAGCGAATGACTTGTAATAAATACTGAATTTTACGTTTTAGCTCTCTGTATCTCTTTTCAAAGGGAATAGGAAAATAGAGAACATCATACAGCTGCAATGCCTCTCTTAAATACTGAGATATAGGCTGTCTTGACTTAGGACCATTCATTCACTGTCCCCTTGAAGTTTGGTGGTGATGAACGAGGGAACTTATGACCCATGCCCGAAGTTATGGCCATTGCAGCTCCCCATGGCCACATAGTCAAATTCAGGTGCTTAGCAACCTATTCATGTAACTGAGGGGTTCTCCAATTCCACCAACCCACTTATCTCTCCCATCATCTATGCTCTTTTGGTCCCCTGCCATCCTGCCCTCTGCATCTCAGCTGGCCTTCACCATCTACTTGCTCCTGCTGCTGACAGGGCATGCCCAGTCCAGCTGCTGGGCTGGGTTGCGACTGGCTTTGCACCTCAAGAAAGGGTGGTGGGGAGCCAAAAGCAGTTTTTTTTCCTTTTTCAGAGCACAAAGCAAGCTGCACCCCCACCCAGGAGCACTTTGCGTTTGGGGCGTTTGGGTGCACAGTGGTTCAAAAGCTGCTTGGGGCTCCACCCGTTTTTTTCTTTTCTTTCTGTTCCCTTTTTTTATGCAGTATAAAGCCAGTCCCAGCCCGACCAAGCACTGAGGCTGGGAATGTCTCATCTGCAGCAGGAGCAAGAAGATGGCAAAGGTGGTCTGGGATGACAGAGCATGGGGTGGTAAGGGTGAAAGGGACTGGGCTGGGATAGCTGTGGCTTCCTGGGACATGGCAAACACCCCAGAGCCACATAGTTTTCGGTCTGCTTGCTGACATTCAAGGCAGGGTGCAGGGCAGCCAAAAAGGCAGGTGGAGAGAATTGGTTGTTTAGCGACCATTCAAAATTACCTGGATTCAACGTTCTGACAGTCACCCATCCCCTCCAGTCATGTGACCACTTATCAGGTTCTCTCTCTTATGGCTATTTGCAGCTTCCCACAGTCACATAACTGCAGCTCTGCTAAAACAGCAGGTGATAGCTTGGTAGGAAGCCTTTGCTCAGATTCATGAAGCACACCAATTGCACCTTTTCCTAAATCATTAATCTTGTCTCACTCAAGCCTTAGTCATCCTACATGTGGACTGACAGCAGAACACTCTCCCCTTAAGACCATTTGGAAGCTGCAGCCGGTTGACAATACGATGATGCAGACTCTTAAGGGCATACGTTGGTACACCCACATGACACCTCTGCTACTTGCACAGCACTAGTTATCTATAAGGAGGCAATTCAAGATGCTGATTGTGACCTGCAAAGGCCTTCATGGCGTAGGGTCTGATTATCTGAGGGCAGCTATTCTCCCATCAATTCTAACTGGTAATACCTTATGGGCCTTCTTTAAAATGGTATCATTTGATGAAACCTTAGTGACATCTCTTGTCTGCAGCAGTGCTGTCCTATAACATAGCATCTCCCCAGAGGTTTGAATTGTTCTTCAAAAAGGCCTCAAAGATTTAGTTCTTTCCTCAGATGCTGTATCAGAAAAGTGTGTGTCTTTTGTGAAAATTGTATTAATGTGCTGGGTGGATTAGTCCTTGAGTTATCACATTATTTTTTGCTCCCAGAGTCATCGTAAAATGGGCAGCTTTAAAAACTAGATTTATAAATAAGTAAAATATTTTTGAAGCATTTCTTTTGAAGAAAGGCATTTTTACCATTGACTATATAAATAGTAGATTTCTTTATTCTGTGTCATTACTTTTATTTGGCAAATAGATTAATATCAAGACTCATATTTTATTCTCCCTATCAACAAAAATAAAAAGTCACTCTAAATGAATTTATGTGTGACTGAATTTCTGATTCAGTATCATTTTCATTCATTTTTTAAAAAAAGCGGGATATTAAATAGCAACCTCTCTCCCTTTTCATTCCATATATTTTCCCTTGTTCTTTGCATTTTGGAGAGACATTTTTCTTCTTTTCATTATGATCAATGAGAGTCACGAAAGAAAATTATTCACCATTTCTTTCTGTTTTTTATTAATTGCTTTCTCCATTCCCTCTTGCTCCTATCCCCCCAGAAGCTTATTTTGTTTGAACTTTTTTCAGGCTATTTCAACAGAATAGAGAGGACGAGTGTAATAGTATTTCAGGGAGGTGAGATATTTCCACTAACACTTCAAAAATGCAGATGTCTCTCTTTATTTCCTGTAGTTGTCTTTTCCATTTTTTTACTGACTGTTCCAAAAATACATTGGGAAAAGATTTGAAATATGAAACTGATTTTCCATTGGATTTTCCTTTCTCAAGCTTCCTTACCAAGCTAGCTTTGAACAGTTATATAAATTGGTTTAATAATAATAGTTTTTAGCTAGGTTTTTATACTTTTTGATGTACTTATTAGCTGTTTTTAGTTCTGTTGTCACTGCCTAGGATAGATGGATGGCTATATAAATTAGTTTAATAGTTAATAATAATAAAGTCCTTGGGAACTTGGAAAGGACTCGATAGGTGGGTAAAAATGCCATATCCAGATTGAACACTGGCTGACTGTGCCACAAACCATAATAATACCTGCAGATAATTATATCACTCCCCCAAAAAGTCTGACCTAGATTCTTTCTTTATCTATTATTTAATTGGATCTGAATCTCCCCTTGCGGCTTTCCCTTTCAAAAAATATACATTTAAAATGCTTAAGGAAGGACAAGCAAGAAAGAGGAGGAGGAGGAGGAGGAGGAGGAGGAATTGACTTTTTTTAATAACAACTCTCCACATTTTGTTTCTCTCATCAGGAAAAAAAGGGGTCTTAGAGACATATCTCCTTATACCGTGGATTAATCAGTAGCTATTTCCTATTTTATTTATTTTTTCCCCTTTTTAATCCTGTTTCTGTTTCACCTGTGCTCATCTTTCTTCTTATTATTTTTAATATTATTTTAGTTATTTTTAAATCTTTGTTACTTGTTTTCAAATAGAAATCAAGTTATTACAAGGATTCTTTAAATCTTAATTTGCATTGGGTGTTTTTATTCATATACTTGACCATCTCTCATTATCTGGGCTGACTTCAGGCTAAGTTAAAATAGGATTAAGTAGTTCAGGATTATGCATATTATGAGAACCTAGCTATTTTCTCAGGGAATTGTTTTGTTATGTGGCTATTGTAATAAGCAAACCCAGCTATAGTGTCCTCCTTCAGTATTCTCAGTGGTGTATTCCTCTTTTTCCTTAATTGTTTTATTGGACTCCTTGTTCAGACTTAACATTGTTCGATATATTGTTACATTAAGCATTCAGTTCTTATCTGATATATGAGATTGTAGCTTGAGATATAATAGCACAGCTTGCACTTGCCATATATTGTAGAAGAGGTATAATATTATATATAGATAAACGGATACAGTCCCTAAGTGGATCAGGATAAGAGCATCACTTGGGGTGAATGTATATATAAATAATATATATTTCTATTTAAAACCATCTGATAGGACAAGATGCCTATTGTTTCTTTACTTCTGTGTCCTCTTTGTAACAGAATGAATATTACTGTAGGTTAGATTTCCTGTGGAAGAACAAGTTCAAAAAAGAACGTGAGGAGATTGAGACGATGGAGAATTTGAATCGGCTTCTTCTGGAAAATGTACTGCCTGCTCACGTGGCTGAACATTTCTTGGCAAGGAACTTGAAGAATGAGGTCAGTCCATCTCACTACATCTCATCTTATGTTAACTGACCAGATCAATTTCCACAGAGCAAAAGACAAACCACAGACTGTAGATTCCCTGCCCCAGAAAGTAAGAACTGGCAGAATAGCTTAACTCCATATCTGCTTGCCATTTGTGAGAAGACAGGGTTGAAAAGGAAAAATATGGCAATTTTTTTCTGGTGCTCGAACACTGAATATGGTACTCTAAAGTAGTGTTTTTTCAACTTCAGCAACATTAAGATAGGTGGACTTCAACTCCCATAATTCCCCCAGCCACACATCGCAAAGTTGACGAGATTGAAAAACATTGCTCTAGGACATTGTTACCATTTGGATTTAAAAAACCACTGAGGCATGACCCTCTTTTATATCTGTTAATTTATAAATAACATGTGTCTCTTTGTGAGCATTTGAAGTTGCACAGAACCAACAGTATACATTTGAAGTCACCAGTTCTTGGGCTCATAATCGCAAGCAATCCTTAAAAAACAAACCTTTGTGTTTCTTGCAAAATTCTAACACAAAATAACATTTCTATTAATTACTCACATGCATTGAAAAGACATTGCTCTGTAACCAGGGTGTAGAATATACCTTCAAAGGCAATAAAAAGAGAAGCCTAACTCTATTGGCTTGAAGGAACAGGGGAAAAAGCAAATCATTTGTGAGTTGGCAGTTCCATACAGTCTCTTGCAAAAATCCTGAAATCATACCAAATTTTAGCCATTTTAATTGTAAAAAATATTTTAAATTACTTGGGCCAGTGACTCCTTCTCAGTGCTAGGAAGGAGACAATGGCAAACCACTTCTGAAAAACCTTGCCAAGAAAATAGCAAGGACTTGTCCAGGCAGTCTCCCAGAGTAAAAAAAAAACAACAACTCAAAGCATAAAGCCAGAGCCAGTTTGGTGTGGTGATTAAGGTGCCAGTCTAGAAACCAGGAGACTGTGAGTTCTAATCCTACCTTAGGCAAAAAGCCAAGGGAGGGCTTTGAGCCAGTCACTCTCCCTCAGCCACAGGAAGGAAGTAATGCAAACCACTTCTGAAATCTTGCCAGGAAAACTGCAGGGACCTAGCCAAGCAGTCACCAGGACTAAAAAAAACAACAACCCTGACTTGAAAACATTAAAAAAAATACTGTTTTAGTCCATTAGCAAGCATCCACCTGCTGACAGTTTTCCTAAAACAAAATCCTTCCAAGATATAACACTTCAGTATAATTTTTCTGCTTTAGCATTTTTTAAAATGATAAAATCTGTTTTTTCCTCTGAAATTTAAAATATTGTTGTTGCACTGGGCATTTCTATAGCCTTTGAAGATGACCTGCTTTGTGGGGAAAGTAATTCTCTCCCAGCTACCTGTTTTCATTTCCATCTGAAACCTAGGTATTAACAGCCATCAGCTGTCAGTTTTCTCTTGCCTGGCCCTGACATTTAGAGTTTTATTTATATAGTTTCCAGTGATCCAGCGTTTGTTTACTAGGGTTTTCAAAACCCTCAAAAGGGACAATTGTCACAGTATGAAAACAAGAGCAAAGTTCCCCTCCTTGAAGTGTTAAAGTAGCTGCAGGCTTTGGAAGGCCAGACTCAGTTGTTTTAGAGGCAGTTTTCTCTGCATTCTTTTGGGTGCACAATTGCTTGATTTTTCTAACAACTCTGGAACAGGTTTTCTCTTGCATATACATATATGAGCATAGAAAACTGGGAAAAGTCTTCAAAGCAATTCCTTGGGGCTTTCCAAAGAACGGGGATGCATTAACTCTTTAGAGTGAGATACCATGCTCTTGGCAATGCAGTTTGAGAAATGTCCCTTCCAAATACATTGCATATTCCTATAATTTACTACTGAAATTTCTTCACTCCAAGTGTTCACTTGATGCTTAGGAAGACCTCTATCAAGCTTGCTAAATGTAATATCACCAGATGTGTATCTAGTTGGAAGGACTTCTGAATTCTGAATTAAGGCGCAGTCTCATGACACAATATCTGTCTTATTAATCTGTTGCAGCCTGTGCAACAGTAACAGACAACCAGCAATCTAGTTGCACTAGGGCTCTTTTATGATTCGTGGACTTCAATACCCAGAATTTCTGAACCAGCCATGCTGACTCAGGAATTCTGGGAGTTGAAGTCCACAAGTCATAAAAGAGCCAAGGTTGCCTACCCCTGCACTAGGGCCTAGGCCAGGGGTAGGCAACCTTGGCTCTTTTATGACTCGTGGACTTCAACTCCCAGAATTCCTGAGTCATAAAAGAGCTAAGGTTGCCTACCCCTGGCCTAGGCCATATCACTGGAAAAGGCAATTATGTATATGCACACAGAAAATCCTAAGATGCATTGGCTTTGTTCCTCCACTAAAATGCATATGGAAGCACAGCTGTGTGGGAACTGTATACGTAAATGGTTTTGGACTGAGGTTTCTTTTCAACGTTCTATGCTGGACATGCTAAACAATGTCTTGATGGTAAATAATTTTGACTTCCTTTGGCAAGAATCTTTTTCATACATTTCCAATCTAATTAAAAAGATGAAACAAAGCAGTGTCCTATTTGTCAAATCTGCACTCTTCCAAATAATATAATTTTCTCAATCTCCAATTAAGATAGAGGATTATGACAATTGCTACATCTTGTATATCACAGACTTACATGAATTATGGCTATTCATTATTAACACCTTTTAAAAAAGATTTGGTCAAGTCATGGCGGCAAATATACCTAATATTCCTGCTTCCTATTTTCCCCACAACAACAACGTGGTGAGGTGGGTAGAGCTGAGAGAGAGTGACTGACCTAAAGTTACCCAGCCACTTTCATGCCTAAGATAGAACTAGAACTCAGAGCCTTCTGGTTTTTAGGCCTGCATTTTCACCACTACATCAAATTGGCTGTTTGAGATGTGTATCATAGAAATGCTGAAATGTGTATCAAATACTGTTGGTCATGACCAGCATAGTTTGTTGTATTTAAGGATATGTGGCATAGAGATGAATTTTAATTTAATAGTTTAATCAAATTAATTAATGCTTTTAATTTAATAAATGGTTTATTGATGAAACTAAAGTAAGAAGCAATGCAAAGTTGATATAAACCTATCTTTGTATAATTTTGTAAAAATCATTAGCACTTTTTCCTTCTTTTCTTTACTATTATTTTATGTACGACTTCTGCTGAGAACGTGGATAACATTGTCTCTTATTCGTCTCTCAACAACAGGATTTATACCATCAGTCGTATGATTGCGTCTGTGTCATGTTTGCCTCCATTCCAGATTTCAAAGAATTTTATACAGAATCTGATGTTAACAAAGAAGGTTTAGAATGTCTCAGGCTTCTAAATGAGATCATAGCTGACTTTGATGATGTAAGTATATTGTTCCTTCAATTAAAATATGAGCCAGAACTTACGTTGAAACAAAGTCTTCTTAGTCACTCTCCATGACAAGAATGCATTTAACCCCATTAAGTCAATTAATTCTGTCCAAGAAATATACTTTGAAACACTATATCTGCTCAACCTTTCAGCAGAGAAGATTGTTTGTTTAGAATCTACAGAATAACAGAGTGAGAAGGGACCTTGGGGGTCTTCTAGTCCAACTCCCTGCTCAAACGGGAAACCCTATACCATTCCAGACAAATGGGTATCCAATCTAAGCAGTGTGGGCCATAATCCGTAACTATGCCTAACTTTAACCTTCAAAGCATACCGTCAGCACAACTGAGTTCATGGAATTGTTGCTGTAGAGATGATTGGTGGAGGGAGTGCTGTGCATACCACCGTATGTTCCTGGGAGACAAGAATTAAAGAGGGATAAAGTTGACTGGGGCCAAAAAGAGCTGTTATTTAATTGTGTGATGGATAGATTCTTTTCCGTATATCTTACATATTTTGTACAGAAGTGTACAGAAAAAAGAGAAAGAGCCAGTTTCCAAGTCGCTTGGGCCTGTGACCAAACCTGCTCTAAAAGAGGTCTTCAAGGTACAGGGGAATCACCTCTGCCTCATTCCAGCTTCTTAGTGCAAGGGAGTTTTCGTGGTCTATACCAGGGGTAGGCAACCTTGGCTCTTTTATGACTTGTGGACTTCAACTCCCAGAATTCCTGAGCCAGCTTGGCTGGCTCAGGAGTTCTGGGAGTTGAAGTCCACAAGTCATAAAAGAGCCAAGGTTGCATACCCCTGGTCTATACAAATGATGTCCTCCAATTCTTTCCTTTGGCCAAAACATTATCTATTATGATATGAACGTTATGGAATATTCTCTTTAAAAAACAAGCTTTGGTTTGTTTGTTTTCCTAGTTAAAATGTTTTAGGTATAGAAAATCATTGAAGGGACTAATCTGGAAAGGTACAGTCTATGAGAGTGAGCAGAACAGTTATTAATTTAGCTGTTATTGAAGACAGTGAACATTAATCATGTCAACAGGCAAGCAGAACTTTGAAGCTGGGGGGAAAAAAAGTCATTGAGCTATCTCTCACTGCCTTAGCAGCTGCAGAGTAATTGCCAAACTATTTTGATTAACATGTAGACATTATAATTATGCGATTTGCTGTGAAACTGTTCCTGAATCTCAAATTTTTTTCTTTAAACAGTTTTACATATTTTTCTTCTGTGGTTGTTTGGATTTGACCATTATTTTCCCATTATTATGATGGCAGGTTAGCACTCTCATGGCCAGCGACTAAAACTATTTAAAGTAATAATATGCTTAGGAAACCCAGCACAACAACTTTATGTTTAAACATGTGATGCTTCAAATCTGGCAAAAAAACTAAACCTGGAGGAATGTAATTGTATACATAAAATAGTTTGTTGTGTTTACAGTTTTATGAACATATGGAAACATGGGAAAATACTGTTTGAAGTAATACTTCCATATGTATATTTTTCAGGTCTACATTAAATATTCTTTCTATATTTAAGTAGAGCAAATCAAGATCCAGTGTAATGTAGTAATTAAACTTTGGGAGTTGAATTGGGGACATAATGGTTCAACTTGTCATTCAGTAAAGGAATTCACCAGTTGACGATCGGTCAGTCACTCTATCTCAGCCCATCCTATCTTATACATCTTTTGATATGGAATAAAATGAGGAAAGAAGAAATTTCCATATATGTTGCCATGATAAAAGCAGAGAAAAGATGAAATGTAAACAGAAACCTAAGTATGAGTTACAATGAGTATGAAATCTCAGGGACAGTAAACCAAACTCCCTTCTTACAAAAGGTTTTGCTTGTCAGAGTCCCAAGCTTAGTTCCAAAGGACGAAGAGTTTAGCAACATCAGCAGATTTTCCTATGGCCGTACAGCTTCAGTGTTGCCATCCAGTCTGCACTCAGGGCTATGGACTGGTAGAACTAAATTGTTTTCTTCAACATAGTCAACTGATCTGGGATAAAAACACTGGAATATGGAGATATGTTGGGGAAGAGTTGCTTCGTCTCACTGCATATGCATTGTGCCTTAACATCAGGTTTCTATATTATTTATGACATGGGCAGATAGGAGTTTAAAGAGATTACTATTATTTCATCTAGACTACCTTAAAAAAATGGTGACAGTTCTTCTGGACTTGGGCTTTCTTTAAAGAAGGATCTAGCGACATATATAGGGAAGTGTGTATTAATAAAGCTAATATGTAATTGTTTTATAATCAGACATCTGTTTCTCCACAGCTGTTATCTAAGCCCAAATTTAGCGGAGTTGAAAAGATCAAGACAATTGGAAGCACATATATGGCTGCCACAGGACTAAGTGCAATGCCCAGTCAAGAACACAGTCCGGTATACATCAATATTATATACAATTTGCAGAGATCATTAGTCAAAAAGACAAAGTTTGGGATATGCTGCAAAATTCAGTCATCCTGGTCCTAATGAAGCTCTTCTGAATAATGCTCCAAGCTTATTTGGAGTATTCAGAGGTGTATTTTCAGTAATTTCAGATTGAAAAATAAATCTGAGAAAGCCCCACTGTAAATCCAGAGTAATTTGTTTGCCCCATGGAGCTCTTGAATTAGGGCCACAGCATGGAACTGTCATCTTGGCAAATGTAGTAAAACGCCTCTATTCACCAAGAATGAAAGGATGTGTTAGAATCAGAGAAAGTGTGTCAAATTTTTCTTTCCCCATCAGAGTGGCTCCATCTGAAGTCCGACAACAAGCAGCATTTGTGGGGAGAATCAGTGTAAAGAAAAAGTCAATTGCTTCCCAACTATTATGTTCCTTCTCTGCAACTCTTTGCTCCAACATTTACAGTTATGGGGTTAAATGCAAAAAATTGATCCCTATTGTGCTATGTGATTCACCCCTTCCTTCAAATAGAGACACCTTCCCCCAATATTTATTGTTTGACTAGTTGTAGAATTATTGTTGTCACATGTGAAATACAAAACAATTACTGACATCTAAACTGCTCACTTTTCATCCCAAAACAACAATTTGCCAGTTCAATGGAAAAGTTATTGTCACTGTCAATACAATAAATAGAGAATGCTTGTGAGAGACTTCAAAACATCAGGTGACAAATATCATGTTTTTAATACCTCACATTTCACTATTTACAGTATATATTTATATTTAATTTGAAATTGTACAAATCAAGCATTATTTCCCTTCCCCTTCTACCTTTCCAACCAAGTTCAGAGGGATTTGGATTTTTACCTCTTTTGCAAGTAGGAGATACATTCAAAGAACCTAGCTGTGTCTTCAAAATACACAGAAATAGTTCCATCCTACTTTGCTATTTTATCACTACAGCTCATAAAACGGACACATGTCCTGGTGTGCATTCAAGATGAGACATAATCCAAAAAAACCAGCTGGACTGTTTTCAGTAAAACAGATATAGGAACCCAAGGGATTGTTTTCTTCATTTTAATTTACATTTTGCAGTAAAGGGCAGATTCCAATATTTCATAGCTTAGCCCCCAAACTGAGAGTCCCATTGTGTTAGCCTTAACAACAAGCACTACCCTTTTTAATATACATTCTCCCTGTGCTACTTCATGCAGCATGCCACTAAGGAGAGTGGAATGATAGTGTTGGGCAAATGTTTATGCAAGGAAATTGGAAAAGATCTTACCTATGGGAAACTGACAGATGGTCTCTTAACAGGAACTCAAAAATATCTAGATACAGCCCTGGGAAATTTCTTATTTGCAGGAAGAAAGTAGCTTGTTCAGGATTTGAAGAATACTAGGTTTATCCCGAATCTCATGCATATTGATGTTCCATAGGTTGTAACAAACATAATAACGAACAGTTTGTTTTCTCAGATACTGCAATGAATAGTGTACAGCTTATTTTTTTCCACATTTTCTAAGAAGTCCCCTTGATATTAATTATTGATATTATTAGTGAGTATTCATGTAGCCCTCACATTGAAGCATTTCTTCTCAGAATGTTTTCATATGGATATGCATAGAAAGCAAGTTTGGTGACATGTTTTGATGATTGCATTTGCCTTATTATTGTGTATGTTTGCATTCAGGAGCCTGACCGACAATACATGCATATTGGGACTATGGTAGAGTTTGCATTTGCCCTTGGAGCAAAACTGGATGTAATAAACAAGCATTCCTTTAATGATTTCAAACTTCGAGTAGGTAAGTGAAGAGACATGTTGTCTCATATTAGCAAATGTTTCAGTCTTTGTTGCAAATTAATGGTTTTTTTACTTAGTTATTTCAATAACTTGCGTGTCTATGAAAAAGGACAAATCTGTTTTATGTCTCACATTCCCAGTTGTTAAAGATAAAAGGGATAAAGTCATAGCACAAAATGTTGCAAGATAAATGAACAAAAAGAACCCCCAGAAGCTTAACATGAATTCAGTCCATGGGAAGAATATGGAGCAGATTTTCTATAAGTAGAGAAGACATGTCATTACCATTTTCTCATGATTAGATTGTGATTATATGATGCTCTTTAGCAATTTCAGAAAATCATGCCAGCAAGAAAAAAAAAGAACTATGAAAAGAAGAAAAATAACCTTATATGCATTTTAAGGGAAACACTTTTCTAAATACAGATCCTTGAATGGTCAGCATAATGAAATAAGTAAGGGAACACAGTGGGTAGAGTACTTCATGTGAGTCCATCAGGGTCTTTGTGCGGAAGAGAAAGATAGCTTTTGGGCTTGGAGAGATTGCATTTCCCCTGTGCTGTTTCGCTTTTTTATTATTGTTAAGAAATCTTTAGCCTTTTTAAAAATGGAAACATGAGTTATACCGAACTGCTTTTTAAATTTTATTTTATTTTATTTATTATTTTATTTATTGTCAGGAATTCCATGGCTGCTATCTCATATAATGAATCTAAGTGGCTACATAAAAACATAGCTAAAAATAAAAGTACCCTTTTCATTATCCTTTTTTGTTTGTTAAAATTCAGCCCATAAATAAATAGATAAAATATTTTCTTTTTCTAAGATATTCTGAGTTTGAGAAATCAAAAGAAAGAACATTACATTTCTGGCTGACTGAAAGTCATTCCAATATTCAGCACTCTTTTAGGAACCCAAAATGTTTTTGAATCTAATGTGAAATTAAAAGATATCAAGTGTGTGCGTGTGTGTGTGTATGTGTGTGTGTGTGCGCACACACACACAAATATAAAAGATTTAACAAAATCTGCTTTTTTTTCCAGAGCAATGTAGAATCTGTTTTTAATCTGCATTTCAAGATCTGCTTTTTATATTCTCACTCAATATTGGGTTTTTCTGTCCAGCCTGTAGATTACAATCATCTTAGCTTACAGCATCCCCTAGTGTCAAAAGCCTGGCAATAAATAAAAGTCACAGATTGAACAGTATTTCATCCTCATATGTACAGTATTTTCTGCATTAGTTTCATCCTTTCCATCCATGAGTTAGATGTAACTCATGATAACCTAGAAAAACTTTCCCAGTTTGGTTTATATGTAGAATATCCAGGAATTTCTATTTCTTTTCCTAAATACTGAGGATTTACTCAAGGACAGAAATGGACCAAGGCAATAGTTGAATCTTATATTTTAAAGAACAAAAGTAAAGAGGATGCAACAATTTTTCACCTCTTTAGGATCCTCTGGGAAAGTATTGATATAAGCTGCATCTAATGTGTGTTCATTGTATTCTGTTCAGTATCACTAAATGGAAAGTTACTGTATTCAGTTCTCTTCTTGCCCTACTTTGCTATGTTGTATATAATTTTGCTAGAAGAAAAGTACATGCAACTTAAAGATCATAGTTTTATGACTATGAATTGCCATTAAATGCTAATGTGACCATTAAAAGTGGTATTGACGTAATCTGGATTATGATGCTTATTTCTTATGACAAACCCATCTGTCCCAGCTAAGCTCACATAGTCACAAGGTTTGGATCTGGAAAGGTATAAGTATCCCAGTCTCTGCTTGGCTTACTCTTCTCTGTCCTTGAAGTTGCTTTGAGTTTGATTGAATGATATTCAACTAACCCATTAACTCATCTAAAATCTAGGTCTCCTTAAGAACATAGGACCAAAGTCCATCATAGAGCTAATAAAATTTATGTCTCTAGATTTAGATTTTCAGCCAGCAGTATTCAATTATATGAGAGAAGTGGCAAAGTCAATGAAATTATAAGATCTTTTGCAGTTTACTCTGATCCCTGTCACTTCAGGATCGAGCTCACCCATCTCACTGTTTGGGACAAGTTTCTAAAGATTCTTGACCAGATAATAGGACTCATCCAATATCTGTGTTATATATGCTAGGATCTTTCCGGGTAGAACTTTTTCCACTGTAAGGGAGAACCATTGGGGTACTGTCAAGGGTATTGTTCAAGTAATTTTTACTTTGAAAAACCCTTAAACCCTTAATCTTTGACTCTCGTACTATCATATTCTTATATTGTCCCAAATGAAGCATTCTACTAGAGCACAGATACTGTTACTCTAATTAATTATTGGTTAAAATTAACATTTAGCCCACAGGATTTGGCCCTCCTAAATTTGATAAACTCTTATTGGTAGCCCTGGACAAAGGTTGTGGACTGTAAGCCATTGCAATATATGTAGATATTTTTTCTTAATTGCTCGTGGCCTTGGTCTGTAAATAGGAATAGTCTTGGTCTCTGTTACAGGAACAGTGTTATGGAAGCAGTATTAAAGCTGAGTTAGGGAACCAGTTGAATAGTCTTAAATCAGTTTGCCATTTGGAGGAGATACTGAATGTAGGTCTACAGATCTTTCATGCTACTGTGTTTTGATAGCATATTTGTATCAGACTTAGAGCACAGATTCAAGGAAATTTCCATCTGCTAATAGAATCTGTCCCAACATACCTGGGAACAATTGAATTGCTGGCCCCATCCTACTATGCTGTGATTTATACATGGCAATTGATCCCACTCCTTAATAAAGCTTTTCCTGAGAGAACCAGTTTGGTATAGTGATTAAGGCACTAGGCTAGATAGCAGGAGTCTGTGAGTTTGAGCCCCACCTCAGGCATGAAAACTAGCTAGATGACTTTGGACCAGTCACTCCCTTTCAAACAAACTCATCCCACAGGGCTGTTGTGGGGGGGGATCAGAAGCAGTAATATTAGGTGTATTTGCTGTCTTGATTTTGGGAAAATAGAAAGAGAAAGGAATATTAGGTAGGCTACTTTGAGTTGTTTATCAAAATAATAAAAGCAGGAAATAAATGAATAAAATAAAAGCTTTTTCTGGATGATATATTAATTTAATGTGCATGATCTTTTATTAGTGCTTGTAGAGTTCACTTAAAATTAACAGCTAAGCAATTTCTCCTTGATTGTCTTAGCCGGCAATCTATTATTATTTGACTGTAACATAACACTGTAAATTATGAATATCACTTGGCTTGTGGCCCATTTTTTCAATGGCTTTATGTTTCTTTTTTTTAACTTGAGCATCTATTGTGTTCAGTTATCTATTTCATTAATCACTGTTTGCTATAAAGAAGAATAGACATCTAAGTAAGATATATTGTCACCAACAAAACTTTCCTTCATGCAGTCGTCCTTCAGCAGTTTGCTACTTTTCTCCAAGGGGATCTGAGGGCAACAATAACTATAGTTGAATGTAGAGCGATTGGCATACACACCACTTGGTGATATCCCTCCTTTTTCTCTTTTGCTTCCTAAGTTCAGAGATATCTTCTCAATGCTTTTTGTCTTAAAGAGGTAGATCTGAATTTTAGGATATGGATCACATACTATCAATGATTATATAAGCTGAGTTCTATTGAGAATGTCAAGTTTTTAGTTTGATAGAAAAGTATCCCAATGTTTTTGACAACTGAGCAAAATAATCAAATTGAAGTATTTTGAATTGCATCTTTGTATTTGTCTTCATTTATTGAAGAAGAAACTAAGGAAACTTATCTAACCAGAAAACAAAATATTAATTGCTTTTTATGTTTTTTGTATTAGATTTTTATCTTTGTAAGCTGTTACTAAGAGTGACTTAGATGGGCATATTTTTTAAAATAAATAAAATAATACAATAAAGTGAAAAATAAATTAAATTTTCTTTTCTACAGGTATCAATCATGGGCCTGTAATTGCTGGAGTCATTGGAGCTCAGAAACCACAATATGACATCTGGGGCAACACTGTGAATGTAGCCAGCAGGATGGATAGTACTGGCATTTTAGATAAAATACAGGTTACTTTTTTTTATTCTTGCTAATAGCCAACAGATCTTGTGTGGAATCTGATTCTGTTTTTCTTTTAGGGAGAGGAGATTCAAAGCAGGGGATTAGGGAGTCAGGACTTCTATATTGTTAATCATTTGGAAGAGGTGGCATTTCATAAGCTAGTTTATAAAGGAGAAAAATAGCAACACCTACCAAAAAGGTTTTCTGCTCAAGTTCTACAAATAAAGAAGCCTCGTCTGTCTTCATTTCTGCTCATCCTTTTCTCTCTTCATCCTTCCTTTTTTCAAGAAGAAACCCAACTAAACAAAAATATACTACTAGTCTCATTGGAGTTGTTAACTTAAAATTTGCTTTAGAATTTTTAAAAGTTAATACAATAAAAAAAAACTCAAAATATTAACATTATCCTAGGTGATCCTGCAGTAAACTGAGTCCTACTTATAATCCACCCATCAAACTCAGGTTTAGCCAAGTGAGGTCCCATTGATTCCATTGCAATTCTAAATATTACAAACTGCTAATCTGGCCCAATATATTTTTTTCATGTACTTGTCCGTTAAGATAATCAGGAAAGACTATGAATTTTATTTATTTTATTTATTATTATTAAATAAAATGAGATTCTCATCTTTAAAGTTGGCAAGTTTACATACTGAAGACCTTCCCCGTAATTATGTCAGTTGACCTCTACTCACAGCAAATAGTTCAGGCCATAGAAGAGAAGAAAAAGATTTCTAGGCTTCCTTTAAAATGTCTGAATGTCTTTATTTAAATAATTTTTGCAGGTCACGGAGGAAACCAGTAACATCTTACAAACATTGGGCTACATTTGCACCTGCCGAGGTATCATTAATGTCAAAGGAAAAGGAGAGCTTCAGACCTACTTTGTACATACTGAAATGACTAAGTCCCTTTCACAAGGGAATGTGGCATCCTGAAATACATCAAGGGTAGACAGTCTCGTATTTTTAGAGAAAAAGCACCCCACACTTTTTTCTTAGATCTCCTCTAGCCCACACCATGAACGTGTGTGTAATTTTCTAGTGTATAGAAATGTTGCTGTAGTAGAGTGGCTACCGTCTCATCCCACCATTCACCATCAAGAGACCTCGGTAGTTGTCAAGATTCCAGAAATGGACAAATCTGTGCTGTGCACTGAGGCAACGACAGCTTGATTTGTATTCTCGACTCTTCAGTGGTAAAGAATGGAGGAAAATAACCACAGAGCTGGAAAAATTAATGGTCTGTTGCAGGAGGCTATGGAGACAATAATTAAAAAAAATTACAGAAAAGCACTGTATAGCAATAAAATTAGAGCTGCATGAAACATCGTGAAAAATATGGTAGCTCCCTATAAACATCCTCTAATCCCGAATTATTTAATTCTGAATATCTAACTCTATCCCTTCATCATTACAACTAGGGTGTGTTCACTAGTTGTGTCTCACAGCCAACAACATAAAATAGAGCTTCAGGCTTCATAGTTTCCCCAGAGGAATTCATAGACAAGCAGGACCAGTTTTGTATAAAATGTGTTAAAATGTTTTGATGCCCTTGTCTTTTGTAATATAAACTCATTAAAGGTTTCTATGTACTTTATTTGCAGTTGTGAAGTTATTATGTGTCATCAGTGAGCTTTCTGGCACAAAGGCAAAAACAAAACCCAAACTGGAGACAAAGGATAAATATAAGCAAAGTAATATTTCATATTTTTTTATTTTATTTTATGACCATTTGGTATGTGTGAATTCCCCTTAGTGCTACTTAACACAATGTTGACGTTAAAAGTATGAAAAATGAGAGGCAGTCAATAACTTCTCCCTATCTTTGTTGTGGATATAGAAAGTAGAGCAGTTACTGTAACAGTTTACCTACTCTTCACTAATATCCCACTAGTGATCATAAAAAAGAAAAAGCTGAACCTGCAAAGAGGAAATCTGAATTAATGCCAAGTTTTTAATAGCTTATTTATCCTAGATAGGCAAATGCTGAAAGTATAATTAATGCAAAACTATTGCTATAAATAATGATATAAAAAGAATCAGAGAACGTGGAAGACGATGCACTACAATAATTTATGATACTACATAGCGTACTATAACATATAAACCAAATATGCCATTCAGTTCCTGGTAACAATTTCACCATAAGGAAAGCGAAATGACAAAAAGTGTCATCTTATAAAATCCAGAACTTATGGACTTGTTTCAGATAGCAGGACACAAATGTATAATTGTAATATTTACTATGTGATGACATCATTGTACCTATGTCATCATTTTGGATTTGCCTAAAGGGGGCTACAGACACTGCTCTTTAGTGATAAACATCAGTTTGCTTTCTCAGGAGACTGCTCAAATACAGGGTTTTCTACAAAACCCTGTAAGAAAAGGTCAGCTTTGAAAGCTGAATAACTTAGGCAGGGTAAGGAAATCTATTTACCATTTTGCCATAATTTAATCTGCTTTTACTATTAGATGTTGGAAGCAGAAACCTGGCAGAATAATGACATTTCTCAATCATAAAAGCCTGTTTTGCTTGCACCAGGCAGCGTTGTTACCTTTTCACCCTTATCTTTGCAGCAGTAATGTCTAATAGTATGGTGCGTGATCGGCAATGAAAAATTGTCAAGTAGCTCCGTGTCCTAGGATAAGTTCCATCAAGGTAGAAAAGGCATTTAGGAATGGATAAATACTAAAAGATCGGTTACATGATTCTTTCAGTGCCTTTTATTAACCGCTACTAATGAGACACCTATTAGTCTGTTTGCATGCAGGTATCAGTAACAGCTCTTCTTACGTTAAATCATTCATGCTTCTGAACTCATTGTTCAAGAACCTTCTATCTTCCAGTTGAAAAGTAACTAATTCCCCCTTTAGGCTCTTTGATATCAACACCTCCATTTAGATTCTGTGTCTCATATTTCAAGAAACATACCGTCATCCAGAAGACACTGTGTGGTTAATTCATTCAGAATCACCGCCTTACCTCTTTATATCCGTCTATTATTTCTGTATTACTCCGAGAAATTCCTGCGAACAAATACTGTGACTTCACAGATACTTTACTTCTGAAACAGATTCACATGGTAGCAGCCTGTCCTTTGTTTTGCCCAGCCACAGCTTTTCTCAAACTTCCAACCCCCTTACAAGTGATTTGACATCATAGTTTATTCAGATGGTTTCTTAGTAACCAAAGAACTCTGCAAACTCACCAACCTGGGGGTGGGTGGGAGATTAGTAGGCAGCACAAAGCAATCCAGCCTGCCACTCAGCCGAACACTGGGCTTCACAGGGGAATGCAAGGCACCCAGGATGGGAAAGAACTGGAGGAAGAGGAAGAATTGGAGGAACTGGAAGGTACCAATGAAGCACTAATAAGGAAACACCAGCTTCCACTCTCTGCACAGTCAGCCTTCAGCTACATCCCACCCCGACGTAAGGACCCTCCTGAACTTAGTTATTTTTACCAGGAGAGCAAGGTATGTCCAGAAATTATGTGCAATTAATTGGGAGGACACATGTTATGATGGAAATACCTATTAAAAGGTGTTGGGAATGAAGCATTGTTCAATCTTCCACACCCAGATAGCAAATTGCAATATAGGTAGTCCTCGACCATGACCACAATTGAGCCAAAATTTCTGTTGCTGAGACATTTAAGTGGATTTTGCCCCATTTTAAGACTTCTTGCCACAATTGTTTAAGTGAATCATTGCAGTTGTTAATAACCCCGGGCCACCCCAATAATCATTGCAGTTGTACATATCCACCCCGGGCCACCCCAATGATGCCCTTGACGTGATGACCCGATGTCTGGAGGCCGTGAGGGTCTGGATGGGGAGAAACAGACTCAGGCTCAACCCTTCCAAGACCGAGTGGCTGTGGCTACCGGCGCCTCGGCATAGTCAGCTGATTCCATCGCTGACTATAGGGGGCGAAACTCTGGCTCCCT